TGTGTAATTTTCCCCAAAGATGTCACAAATTGCTTTTCGTAGGCAGCTCGCTGCGTTCTCCAGATTATAAGATGCACTCTTTCCAGTGCATTTTACAGCAAAAGTTGTGGGTGCGTCTTATCCGTTATTCAAATTATTTTTTCAGTAAAAACTTGCCCCCACTTAAGAGTGTTTCACAAGACTTTACAGTATGAATTAAACGAAGGCAGTGCTACTTATAAAATAAAGACACGCAAACATAACAAAATGAGAGAGGACATACCCAAGGCAAAGCTAAAATAATAAAAAATCTTGCAGAGTTTCCTGAACTGTTCGGTGCTCGGAGCCAATCTTAGGGCTTATCATGTGGTCCACGAGTGTGTGTCTGTCTTTCACTTAGATTGGAGAGCGTCTTACTTTACAGAGGGTACGGTAGCATGTGTTTTCATGGCTGATTAAGTATTGTTGGTTTATTTCTCTGTTTGGAATATCTTGCAATGTTGTATGCAATTTTTGCTGTCTTGAAAAGCTGTCATGTACTGCTTTAAATAGGTTTTAATGTATACAGTATATTTTTTTTATTATACATTGAGACATTATGAAGCACCGTTTAATGATGGCTTATCAGCACAGCATTATTAACCACTTTGTGTTTCTTGTGCATCCGTGCCGTCACTCCAGAGTTGTTATTTATTTATGTTTGCGTAGGCGTGTGCGTATTATCGTTATCGTCGTTATTATTTTGACGGCCCTCTCCTCATAATGCTATCTCACTTGTGCCTTTTGATTCCGAACTCTGGCAAATCGAAGCAATTGGCGGCGAGTGGTGCGTTTTTGACAACGTGTACTGCCGGCTCGTGCGGTTGCAGGCAATTTGAGCCGCGGGATCAACAGATCAACTTCCATTCGTCATGTTATAGAATCTGTCTTGTTGTTTTGTGTGTGTTTTTTTTTATTATCGAGTAGTGTTGAATGTCAACAATGGATTTGCTAATCCTGTGTTTTAGAGAAAGAAAAACCTCGCATCTTGCTCTTTCAATAGTACATATTCTCTCCAGTGGCGTTGCTACGAAGAATGGGTAAAAGAATACGAGCAGAAAATGTTCATGCGTGCTTCCCCTGCGTGTGTATTCTCCACATCGATGCGAGTGATTATTTAGAGTTTTATTTTACACGTAGGCTTTCGTGACCAGTGTTATCCACAATTGGGTTTCTCCACAACTGGCTGTCGCCTGATGCCGCTGGTTGTAATTACCGGCGAAACGTCGTTCTTGAATGGTGAATGTTGTGGGGGTTTACTGTCCAACACACCACAGGTGTGCTGTACTAGTGACGAATTGGCACGTTTTGTTTACGTGACAACCCTTACTCATTGGCTGTGTTGGGTGGTGGCGGGTTTAACGACACATTTATATTCACGCTATTCAACGCAAAAAAAATATTATGGATTTGAGTTATGTTATCGCTGTATAATTCAGTGTAGAATGAGAGGGGGCCGGTGGGGGGGGGGGGGTCCCCCTACCTGTACGATCGGTAGGTCACCACCAGCATTGATTCAAGCGAGCTCCATTCTGCTGATGAGACACTGTGTGTCGTGTCGTCATTATTGCAGAGTGTTTGCCTGTCTAGAAAACAATGCGCTACTGAGATGATGTGCTTGCCAGAAGGCCATGCGGCTGATGGTTGTTGTGTAAGAGCAATGCTTTTATTATTTACGTGAAAAGATGGATATATAATATTTGAATTACATGGTTTGATAGTAAGGGCACTTTATATATGTAATAAAATATATAAGAAACCCCCTTTTAAAAGAATGTGGATATCCAAATGATGAAGATAAACACAACCCAACATTTGAATTTTAATGGCTCATAGGCACCCTTTTAACAATGGGGGATTGGTTTAATTTTACAGGATTCAAAGTTACAATCTTTGTTGAGGCCGTGTGAGCATTGCTGAGAGAAAGTGCAGTCAGTCCGCCCTGTGTTTCATTTCCATGAATATGTGGGTGTGCGCGCCAGGTGCGCCTTGTGAAAATGCCGTGAACTGAGGAGTTGTCAATTACATCGGATTAATGTCTCATGGCTCTCATGCCGGAACATTTTACTTGCGCTTGCACATTCATCTCTCGCTTATTTGTGGTATCAAAGAAAGCAAGTGCCTTGAATTTCTATTTGCTCCCTATGATGTTTCTTGTCTCATTTGGTGAGTTTCATTAGCTGTTCAGATTGCCTGATAATGTGCAACATCGGAACTTCCAAATGTTCCACTTGAATTTAGTGTTTATATACAAAAAAAATCACCTGAATCTTCCTAATTTATTTCTGTCGTATTCTTGTGGTGCGTTCGTTAAGCGTAAACGCTGACAGGTTGACATTTTCCCACTGTAAAGGACATTTGGGGTCACTGTCAGCACTGGCATTCCGTAAAAAAAATTGGCATGGAGCCCAGTCCAGAATGGGGCTGAGGGGGGTGGCTGTAGGTGAATGTTTGCAAGCAAGTATCAAGTTGTAAAATAACTCAAGACAGCCAATATCAATATGGGAACACATGGGAGGAAATGTCAGCCAACCCGTAAGCAGTGGAGAAGTTTGCTGTTTAGCCCACTCCGTCAAGAGAGTTGAAGAACAAAGGGAAATAAAAAGCCGATCGGCAACAGCACAACACAAATCCCATCTGGCGGACGAGCAGCAACTGTTGCTGACAGTGCAGCCGATGCTTTCGCTCAAGGGGCTGGTGCCTCTCATCTCCACCGGCGTGCAGGGGAAATGCTGCTGCTGCTCGTTGTTCTGCGCAGTCCGTCATCGTTCAGCCACGGACAGCCGAAGTGTGGTCGTAAGACAAAGTCTGAATGAGAAGCACAAGCACTCACGACCATGATAGATGATGATGGTGTGGGGGAGACTTTCATCCAGCAGTGGGTTGATCATAGCTCTTGATGGTGTGTGGGCACCACGGTGGCGAGATGTTAACTCACTTGTCCGGTATACAGGAGGCTGTTGGTTTGATCCCGAGACTGACGCTTGTATATTTGGAGTTTGAATGTTCTCCCTGTGGTCGTGTGGATTTTTTTCCTGGTCCTCTGGTTTTTCCCTCCAAATTTAGAGATGTGCGTTGAGAGTATTTGGCTGCGACCATAAGTTTCCACTTGATAAGCCACTTCGTTGAGCTATCGTTTGTGATAGCCAGGTCTCTCATCAGTGGGCCTTACCCAGTAAAATAAAAACTAGTTTAGTTTTAGCGTGTTTGTATTTATCTTGTAGTAAGGGTGATAGACACAGCACAACACATTCCTGCGGAGGGAGCTGGTAGGAACGTTGGGTTGCTCGGTCAATGGCCAGGGTCAACGGCGGCGTGGTGTATTCTGCAAATATGGCCGACTGTGAGGGCGGGCACAAGCCGGCGTGAGTAGGTTAAACGTTGAGTTTTATAAGGGCACCACGGGGTGACCAGCCCCTCCCCACCCAGCCCCACCCCTCCCACCCCCCACCCAGCCCCACCCAGCCCCTCCCCACCCTCCCCTCTCCACCCAGCCCCACCCCTCCCATTTTTGGATGCACGACGGACAGACACCATAATCCCCTGTGGGCTGGTGGAACCAGGAGGTTCCTACCAGTATAAGCGGCTGCTGCATCTCACCCTCTCGCTGGAGAGACGCAGAGAGAACAGTCCGTACCCTTGTGCACAGTTTTGTGTCCACAACGCTGCATCGTGCGACATTTTAATTATAACGATTAGGAGGTGTAACGTTTGGGGCAATATACACATCTAATAATAACTTGAAAATCTGAGAAATATGAAACTCAAAGTTCTAAAGTTTATTACGAGTTCAATGTTTTTTGTATAATGTCTCGGTTTGAATAATTGATATTGTTGCCCAATACATTTTTGTGCCGAGGGGTTTGCCAATTTTTTTGCTTTGCAGTTCTGCCCTCTGCACCATCAACACCTGTGTTGCTAATATTTTCTAAGGTGTTTATTCAGAAAAATAATGTTATATAAACCGGTCCTTTATTTAGAGACAACGTGCACAGCGCCATTTAAAAAAACTTGCCGTTGAATGAGGGCCGCCCCACACCGTGTTTCATTGTGGGTATTTTATTGGACCGTACCTCGCCACGCTTGCTGATGTTTTGGCAAAATCAGGAGCAGAGTGGTAGGAGCACAGAAGTGCATTACAGCAATGCATTTTACTGCACTGCCCACTATGTAGCCACGCAGCTGCCTTTCAGATCTGCTATGCATGGTGGTCACTTATCCAAGCACAAGGCCAGGCGCAGGCTCTGCTTAGCTTACAAGATCTTGATAGGACGCAGGCACGTCCTGAGTGAATTGTTCACAGGAATGAAACCTGCGTACATCTCAAGAAGAGTATCTACAGTGCCTGCTTCTGCTCCGACACCTAACGCCCCCCCTCCCAAATTATGCGACATACATGTTATAATTCCCCTCCTCTATTCATTGTGTGGCCTTACAAGGCGAGCTGATTGTTTGCGAAACTGGCGGCTAGTTGTGTGAATGTCTTGAGAGTTGGGCAACCGTGCACGTACAGGTTGGCTGGCGCACATTGTCACGTCACGGAAGGTGTGCACGCGGTTTTCACGCCCTCGGGCAGCTGCTGCCGTAGGCGCATGTCTCTGGTAGTGAATTAATGAGCAAAAAAAATGCGCCTCGTCGGTTGACTGGACTCCAATTGACGTTCGTGATGAAAAAAGGGCGCCTTTTGTTTAATACGGAATAAATGGGCACCCAAAACGGTTCTTTTACACATCTGTCCCTACACCCACACACAGTCTTTAACACATTATGAAATGATGCACTCTCAGAAGACTGTGGTGGGTGATGAGATGTGTAAAAGAAAATACTTTTGTTTGGTGATTCTGTTGCATGCAATCATCCCAGGAAGGAGTCTTGTGTCTGGTCGCTTGCAGTGAGTAACACGGTGCTGTGCGTGTGTTTGCGTCTGCTCTCGCCACGTGTTTGCGTTGGCTAATTTCCTCCCCCCTTTCGTTTGGCCACAGATCAATGAGCTGACCCATGTGCCCATCCCCGTCATGCTGCTGCCAGACGACTTCAAGGCTTTCACGAAGATCAAAGTGGACAATCACCTATACAACAAGTAAGCCGGCTCTAGAATGCAACGTGTGTGCGTTTGTATGTACGCACGTACGATGCACTTCTCTCTCACCGTACTTAGCCAATCATGCTAATCATCGGAGGTTCCAGAGTCGCTGCTTCAGTATCATCACCGGCCATGATCTTATCCACTGCTGGACGAAGGCCTCCCCAAGTAACCATTTCTCGTAGTACTTGCGATGCCGCCACAATCCATCTAGCTCCTGAAAATGTCTGGTCTCATGGTTTCCATTTTATAGGGGGGTTCTCTTCGCTGGTGGGGGTTAGCTTCTTTTGCTGCAATTCTGTCACCGGTCTCCCCTCCTCCCCTCCCCGTTGGCTATCATCCCTTCTCGCGATGTGTGCTGCCCTATGTCCATTTGCTTTTCTTAGTGGTCATTTTGACTTCTCCTGATTTGCATTTGTTCTCTTGATTCATGTGCACTCTTTGTCTCTGATTGTGATTCGCGAATGACTCTTCACACTTAAGATTTTGATCCATTTTATTCGTGATTGTTCTTGATTCTGCGTCGTGTGTCAAAGCTGGTGATTTGAAGTCAGTTGAAAACGTATTTCTTTCAGCACGCTGTACTGTTTTTTTGGGCTGCCGTGGTGGCGAGATGTTAATTTCCTCGCCTGGTATACAGGAGGTCGTGGGTTCCATCTCGACCCTGATGCCTGTATATTTGGAGTTTGCATGTTCTCCCCATGGTCGCGTGGATTTTTCTCCGGGTCCTCCGGTTTTTCCCTCCACATTTAGAATCAACATGTATTCAGAGTATTTGGCTGCTATAAATGTCCATGTGATAAGCCACTTCGTTGAGCTATCATTTGTGGCCAGGTCACTTCTGAAAAAGAGCTGGAAAGCTCCCTGGGCTTGACCTGGTAAAAAAAGTCAATATATGGGGAGTGTAGCAGTTAGCGCTCTGCGCTACGAACCCAGCTGTTGATTCATGCTCACGGCCAACACCAGTGACGATTATCTGAACCACGTGATGAGAAGCCACTTTGTTGAGCTGTCATTTGTGGCCAGGTCACTTCTGATAAAGATCTCTATAGCTCAGTGGGCTTTACATGGTAAAAATAAAAGCACAGTTTAGTTTATTGTTGCTTTTTATGACCACATTAAATTTTCCAAAAGTTCTTGAATCCGCCTCTCGCTTGCCTCGGTATTTAATCGGTTTGATCCCAGTCTGCCTGAAGTGATTGTCCCAGATTTGCGTTGTCCGTCAGCGCGCTTCACTTGGGTACCTCCTGCAGTTCTCCCCTCTTAGTCAGATAAACTGCAATACTCTACTTTTGTTTCCGTCATAGTCTTCTCTGTTATGTTCCTTTTCAGTCTCCACGTGTAGCTGGCAATTTTATTTACGTACAAAGGAAATTGAAGATATTTGAAAATATGGATCTCCAGCACCTAATTATGTGGTTGTCATATGAAACTGTTGGAGCCTTATTTGAATGTGTGATGCTAATTTATTGCGGGATCAATCATAAGGTTGTAGTAATGAAAGCGATAAGTAACATTAAAAAAATGCATTTGGTTAGATACTAGAACAGATTTCATTGTGTGTTTGCAATCGAACAAAAAAGTTAAAATAAAGTACACGAAATTACATTATCTTAAGATTGATTTTATAAATCTAAATTTGAAAGTGAGATGCAAAGTTTTTTTCCTCCTAAACAGCCTTAGGTCTCCAGCACCTAATTATGTGATTATCATATGAAACTGTTGGAGCCTTATTTGAATGTGTGATGCTAATTTATTGCGGGATCAATCATAAGGTTGTAGTAATGAAAGCGATAAGTAACATTAAAAAAATGCATTTGGATAGATACTAGAACAAATTTCATTGTGTGTTTGCAATCGAACAAAAAAAGTTAAAATAAAATACACGAAATTACATTATCTTAAGATTGTATTTATACATCTAAAATTGAAAGTGAGAGGCAAAGTTTTTTCCCTCCTTAACGACCTTAGGTAAGTTGATTCACACGGTGGTCGCCGACACACTCCAACTCCTTGCGTGTGCAAACTCCATCCTGTATGCGGGGCACCCAGTTTATCTCATGGAAACAAGGTACAAGTAAAGACAGGCAACTCTCGATTATCCTGCGCTAATGACGGGTAGGATGGCCGCGGATAATTCAAAATCCTGGATAATCCCAAAAAATAAAAAATTTCTGCGGATCTCTATGCCAAAAGCGACTAATATAAATTAAGTGAATTATGTTTACGTTGATACATTTTTGTTTGTAAATCAGCTAATATTAATGATCGATCGATGCGCGTGCTCAGTGATAACACGTTTCTGCTCCCGTGCAGACGACTCAGCCCACTAAGTGGACAGCAGTAAAGCCACACCAATTAACGTCAATCAAACTCCGCCCACTGTTGCAAAGATATGCAACTACTGTACTGTAGAGGCGATTGTGTGGATTTCAGATTAACCGGAGCACATATTTGTTCGGCTTAAGCACGTGACTTGTAATAAACATTTCCAAGAATAACTATATATAACTATTTTTTGTTTATTAATTTCACCTTAAGGGAAAATCCATGAGTTATTAATTTATGTAAAAATCTCAGGTGCGCAGTTAATCTGCAAATCGGATAAATCGCACGCGGATAATCGAGAGTCTACTGTAGTAGTTTTGGGTGGGGGCTCGCTCCCTTTCCACTGGGGGGGAGGGGGTGGGGGAAGCCACCAACTCTACCATGTGACCCCTCCGCCACCATTTTAGTTTTTTACACTTTATTGCATCTCAGCGGAAATTAGTGGTTTTAAACCCCCCAAAATAATAAGCAGATGTTGCTGCCAATGAAGCGTGGGGGCATCTGAACGTACTCACGCTTCATTGGCGGCAATGTCTACTTACTGTTTCGTGCGAATGCGGTTCTTATGAGGGCTATCAAGTGTGTTGAATGTGTGTTGAGGTAGTGCTGGCACCTGCCTATATTACTTAAAAAGCTTGGCCGCACGGTTCCCGAGTGCGGAGTGGGAGTGGGGGTCTGATCGTCCCTCAAGATAAGCGATCTGCACTCCTCGTGCTTCCACTCCTTGAGGGCACTTGTGCGTAATGGAAACAATGCCTGGGGTGGTAGTGCCCTACCTGCACGTGATTGCGCGGATTGGCGTGCAGAGGCAGCAGATTTTGGCGCCGGAAGGTCGTGGCTAAACAAGATGGTGGCGGCGCATGCGAGAGCCACCGTGTCCCAAAGGAGCTGGCAGCAGCAGCAGCAGCAAGCGCGGCAAGAGCACCCCCCCTCGCCCCCGAAGTATTGCGGCCGCTTTGTCAGGAGTGGCCCAGGGCCAGCGCATAGCTGGCGTGGTCACAAAAGCCAGACCATGAGTCCCCAGAAGGGGACGTGGGATGGCAGTTATTGAGCTGTGAACGTTGGGCTGTGGAGTCGGGCACCCTCACAGTGAGCCCACTAGAGCATCATGGGGTACCCATGGGGGTCCCTCTGGAGCAGTTTGAGACAAAGACAGCCTGGAAAAGTGTCTCTAATGTACTACATACCTACACGGGCAGGCAGGGCACATTCAGACAGAAATGTCTGAGGAGAAAGAATGCAAGGCTTGAGGGGTGAGGTTCGAGCCAGGGACTCGATTGGGCCGAGCCAGAAGCTCTCCTAGGCTGCCCCAAGAGTCTGACTTGGGGGAAGGCTTCTGAGCCCCAGACAGCACCCAGGCTGAGGAGAGCCTGAGGAAGACCACCTCCCGGCGACGTACGGTGCGAAAGAAGTTCAACGGACATACATGCATACAACATGGGCATTCAGACAAGGATTTCAAGCAGACCACTCACCTGGACTAAAGATTGCCTTGCTTGAGCCTGCTCTTGGCAGAAGTTAAATGTAGGCAGGGCGGGGGTGGGGTGCTGATGAAGATTACATGGCCGACCAGCCCTCTGTGAAGTGGGGCAGGGAAAATCCCAGCCGCAACAAAAGGGCACCCCTCCCTGATGCCAAGGATGAGCCAAGTGAGGATGAGAAGACCTCAGAGGATGAAGCCTCCCATTTCCAAAAAAGGCAAAGTATCCCTAGAGAGAGGGGGAAGGGGGGGAGTCTGCCTCATCAACAGGGTCCAGTGGTGATGAGGATGAAACATTTGTGAGGGATTTTTTTGGTGGGGCAACGCCCACAAAATGGAGGCAGTGGCTTCAGAAGTCACAGAAGAGGAAAGTTCTGAGAAGGAAAGAGGGAAAAAGCCTTCCATGTTCTCTAAGCCAAACACTTGGCTGATCTTCCCTCGGATCAAAATATGTGGGACATGATCCTGCATGAGTGGAAAAAAGCTGGATCTGGGTTTTAAGTCCCCAAACAAGCTTCACACTTCGCCAAAGAATTGGAGTGAGGCTCCTACTCCACTTCTTGTGTTCGACGTAGCCTTGGCCAGGATAAGTTTCCTACACAAATTGGCGACCACTAGAATACTAAACTAATCTATTTTTGATTTATCACATACAGACCCACTGAGCTATATAGCTCATTTTCAAAGGAGACCTGGCCACAAATGATAGCTCAATGAAGTGGCTTATCGCGTGGAAATGTAAAGCAGTCAAATTCTCTATAAACGCTTGCTTCTAAATGTGGAGGGAAAAACTGGAGGACCCGGAAAAAAATTACGTGGCCATGGGGAGAAGATGCAAATTCTAAATATACAGCAGGTGTCAGGGCCGGAATAGAACTCACGACCTCCTGCATGACAGGCCAGGAAATTAACACCGCCACCACATGAAGGAAGCCTTGGTTCTGGACATGTCACGGCTCTTGAACATAGGAGTGATGATCACTGAACTTTGCAAGGATTAGCGGGGCTCGGGGTTCTTCTCGATGTTATTTTAGGGTAACGGTGGTTTCGGGTGGAGGTATTCTGGGTGATCCTTCACCAAAGAAGGTGAAATGCAAGGATAAGGAAATGTTGCTTTTAGATAGTCACGGACAACAAGCATGAAGACCATAAGGGTACATGCCTAGCAAGCATTGGTCGACCTGAAGGACGCCTACTTTTACCCTCCCAGTCAATGTCAAGCACCATCAATTCTTGCAGTTTCAAGTATTGGACAGACATTGGCAGTGTCAGGTGCTCCTGTGTGCACTTAAGGCCCCCCCATGCTTTTACCAATATCCTTGTTGTGGTGGTGGTGTAATAGCACGTATAAGTTAAGGGAGTCACCAAGTGTACCCCTACTTAGACAATATTATTACAAGTGCAAGCTCTTGGGAGGTATCAACTCACTCAAGGTGGCAACGACTCGCTGAAGGTGGTAAAGGTTTTGTGCTGATTGGCCCAAAGTGCAGCCTAAGGTCCCTCCCAACAGGTCAAATATCTGGGATGCTGGTCGCAACAGTGCCAGGAAGGGTGTTGATGACCATGAGAGACATTAACCTGCCTGCGTGCGGAAGTTGAGAAAGGCTGTTGGCAAAAAAGGGAGGGGGGGGGGGCATGCGCGAGGATTTTCCTTGTCATGTCGGGGCACATGGCAGCCACAAACAATGGAGACGGTGCCATGGGCCAGGCTACATATGCGTTCACTACAACGGTGTCTCCTGGACAGACGGCATCTGATCGGGGGGACGAGATGCATCAAGCCCGTCTCTCTATCTCGGATGGCAGTGAAGGCCGGAGTGGTGGCTCAACTCGCCTCAATACACAGAGGAAACCAAGTGGGGTTCTTGAAGGAGCTGGCGGTCATGGAAACGCACATGCCCGCTTAAATGTTTGGGACCTGCTGTCATAGAAGAACTCCTCAAGGCACAGTGGTCAGAGGCAGGACAGATGACAGAGCATCCATCTCCTGGAATTGAGAGCGATCGGCTTAGCCCTGGCACAGCTGACAGGGGTTGTGTCAGGCAAGGACGTGCTGGTCACTTGCTGCTGTGTGACAGAGGTGGCGATGTCAAACAAAGAGTGCCCCCGCCTCCCCACGTCCTGGAACGACGAGAACCTGGTCCATCTGCTGGCGTGACATCTGACCAGCATAGACGATGAAATGGTGAATTTGCTAAGCTGGGGGCAAGCCGAACCCGGGGGAAGTGGACACTTCATCAGGAGGTCTTCAAGCAGATAGTGGCCAGGTTCTTCAGTCAGAACATAAATAGATTGGTTTGCGTCTCGAAGAGAATGCCATGCCAGGTTTGCCTCAAGGTTTTTTAGCAACAAGAGAGGATGGCCATGATGCTGGAGAAATCTACAGGGGAGGAGTGGAGGTGATCAGGTGGCTCCCAATTGGCCCAGGAGATCATGGCTCTCGGATCTCCGAGTCATGATGATGGTGCAAGCTTAGCAGCTACCACAGAGAGGAGTCTGGTGTCAAGGCCGACTGGTGTTGAACTTGACGGACTAGAGGTTGAGAAGGGCCAGCTTCAGATGCTGCCGTGGAAGTGCAATATTTACTCTTGAAGTGATGAAGGATGTTGACGTGGAGAGGGTACAACTTGCACTGGAAAAACGATGTTGTGCAGTGTGACCAGCATGGTGAGGTTTCTGCTGAGGAATTCCATAAGTGCCTGTTGCTGGCTGCATGGAAGGTCAGATTGATGGCCATCTTAACATTCCTTAACAATATGAGAGGAGTATTGTTGGTGGCCGTCAGTCAAAGTCATATCCCATCCGCTTCACAGCCACGAGATATTTTGCGTTGGCCTCCATTTGAGCCCCCTCATGATCCTGTTTCTGATCGCCATAATATGCGCAAGGTGGGTCAATGAGCATACAGGCCTTAGTGGCTCAGCCACCATCGATGTTGATCTTAAAGGGAGCAGGCGGTCCCTTAGGAGGTCACTTCGGTTTGTCCTCAAGGCCCTTTCGGATTTTTACGTCAACCTTGACATTGTCTTGCCATATTTTTACCATGATTCTTTCCGCTTGTGAGCGTAGGCTGGATCGCATAAGCTACATTCAGCAAGAGCAACCTCACCTTGTACTTGGAAAGGTTTTAAAAACCTTGGAGAGGTTGGAGCATCTATTTGTATGCGGTGGCCAGCAGAAGAGCAGGGAGGGAAGGTGACCTCTTTGGTGAGGGAATGCATCCAAAAGGCCCTCAAAGATGAAGGTCTGGGTCACGCTGGGAGATGTGATCCCCATTCCCCATTCCAAATATGGCCACGGTGATCTTGTGGGCTAGCTGGGCTGGAATGTTCAAGCGCTCACTAAAAGGCTGGACATGCTGGGTGTCGCAGGAAGGCCGATTCGGGACGGCAGTCCTCTCAGCGGCACTGTCTCAGTCAGAGTTGAATGGAAAATGCAAGAAACTTTTCCCCCGCAACCTGTGGACCTCTAATATGGGTTCATATATATTGAGCTGCAGTGTGTTGGTGACCGCCATATGAATAGACACAAATTGACTTGCATTAATCCAGATTCTTATAGGCGATTGCTGACACACTGAGTTCTCAGTACCTCTCCCTGCTAAAGTTGTTGTGTTAGAACTGTGTTTGTTGTTTGTGGGTGCATGTGTATATATTGAAATGAAAGGAGTTAATTACCATTTAGTAATTGGTCATATTTGACCATTTCCAGTTAACTGTAGGATGCAGGAGATAGTGCCCCTCCATATTCAACTCTGGTTGAAACGTCACAAATTAAAATGGTGAATGGAGTGGTCGAATGGTGAGTGGTTGGGGGGAGCCCATGTCTGGCAATATTATTTAATTATTACAATTTCACACGAGCTTTCCGGGTGCCCCGGCATTTGATGGAGTTCGTAACGTACCGAGTTGGAGCGTATGTCGGCGACCGTCAATGAAAATCGGGATTAACATATAAGTACTAAATCCCTGTATTTATCTCCCGTTTACAGCCCTAAGTCCGGGGTTGGAAATTGCACGTACCTAAGGTAGGGACGAGTGTGGCTATAGAACACATGGCCCCATTTACATGTGCAGGAATTCAGGATACATCCACTGTCTTGGCCCTTTTGTGACCACAGTTCTATTTATTACAACAGGTTTTTATCTGTCACGTTTGTCCAACCACCAGACCTGCTGAATGTCATATGTCCACACGACCAGAAAAGTAATTTAACTTCAATCCGTCACACAGTGAGAATGCATTGCACTTAATCCAGACAGTCTGCATATTAACCCAGTGCCCAGCTGCGCACCTATCCAGGCTATTTAACACTCTGAAAACGTCAAGAAGGCAAGTCATCCAAAAATGTTGAGATCTTAAATTTTGTCTCCGTGACAGTATTAAAGAAACCTGTTATTATTTTAAAACAGTTTTGTTATTTTGCATGCAAGTTTGCAGAAGCAACAACAAGATCGCACAGAATGGCCACTGCGGATTTCCCAGAAACTGAACAAAATATGCACCAAATGACATTGTTTTTCAGAAAACCGGTTTGCTGAAAGGGAATTCACAGCGAGATGTTGCCTGTTAGCTACATTTATAGCTTGCACTTATATCTGTATCTGATAATCAATTTTTTAGTGTGAAATTCCTTTTCAACGTGCCGGTTTGCTGAGAACAAGATCAAATGGCATGTTTGTTGTTCATGTGATAACCTGCTTTGTTCGGCTGTGTCAGGGTCTACAACAGCATTTGGTTTTGGACTCGCGATCTGACCTTAAAAAACTATCTTTAACTGTAATATTTATTGTGAAAAACCTACGGGTGCAGTAATATTGATTATAATGTATACAGTGGCCACCACACTAAGAGCACCTTGAGATTCTGTACAGTACAAAGCATATACAAATTAGCAACACATTCAGAGAAAATACAAATTTAAGCACAGTCAAAACAATAGTACAGTCGGCCATTTGTGCACCAATGCACCACACTGGGCACCATCACCCAGTGCTGATGGAGAATTGTGCTGTGATGCATAATGAATGAGGGCATGGATTCCTAATTTATGCACTTTCGGAGAAGCATGCGAGTGGTGAGGATGTCGACGGAAATTCTAAAGCCAAACAAAAAACAGTGGGAATAAATCGTTGAGCATATTATAAGGACGTAATGAGTCCTGTGTCAGGGGGGGAGAAGGACAATTTTTAATTCTGGACTTGAGGAGGGAAATCTGCAGTGTAGACAACCAGGGCGGGTCATTTCGAGATTCAGGGATGGGAGAGGAGAGGGGGGGGGGGCGACCTGCCGTAGTTTGGAGGTTTGATTCTGTGGCTTTACCCAGAGGCCTTTGGCTGTTGGCGCGAAGTGAATAGACAGGGGGGAGTAGTGCGGCTCGAGGTAGGCTGGAGCAAGTCCATTGAGGATATTAAAAATAGTTTAGGGCGATCTTGTACCCGATTACAGATCGAATTGAGAGCCAGTGAAGGGGATTTGAGAATTAATATGAAAGGTATTTGATCTCGTTTGTGGGTGCGAGTCAGAATTATGGGCACAGGATGTACGATCATCTGGAGTAAGGGAGAGGAAGCTGAAAGAGGAGAGTTAGAAAAGTAAAAAAAGAAATGCTTAGATTAGAGTTTCTGCAGCAATGGGATTAACATCCTTGTGGATATAAGAAATAAAACAGACACAATTGAGATATCTTGCAAATTTTGATATGTTGAGGAGAGAAATGAACATCTGGATCAAAGACAATCGCGCCAAGGTTATGGACATTTTTATCGAGCGTAATATCAGAAATTCACAAGCAAATATTGGAACAAGGTTCATGAACAATGGGATGCTTCTTACCGATGGGAAAGACCTTGGTTGTAGTAATGTTCAGCTGGTCAGAGATCCAGGTGGAGGATAAGCCAAGGCAGAACAACAGAATGAGAGTGAAGTAAAAAAAAACTGAGTCAATGACAATGAAAAAGAAGTTGAAGGTTGGTGTTGAAGCTAGGAATTATTTTGCCTGATTTGGTCGCAATAGGGATTGGCAGTGGACCAAGGATATAGGTTCAAGGAACACCATAGCATAGGGGCTTGTGAGAGGACAGCCCTTTTTAAGAGAGCTGGAAATCGTGGAATGACAAATAAGAGTTGGGGCAGAGTTTAAATTGTACCGGATAGACCAACGTAGTGGTCATGCAGGCGGTGAAGGACGACGGAATGATCGATGTCATAGAAAGGGACTAAAACTACACTATGAAAACTAAACTATTTTTTAAATTTTATTTACCAGGTAAGACCCACTGAGCTAGGAGCTCTTTTTCAGAAGCGACCTGGCCACAAATGTTTGCTCAAGGAAGTGGCTTATCATGTGGAAATGTATAGCAGCCAAATGCTCCATGTTTCTAAATGTGGAGGGAAAAATTGGAGGACCCGGAGAAAATCCACGTGGCCACGGGGAGAACACGCAGGCTCCAAATATACAGGCATCAGGATCGGGATCGAACCCACGACCTCCTGTATATCAGGCGAGGTAGCTAACAGCTAGCTACCGGGACAGTGAGTCCAAGAAAGAAAAGGTAATGAGAGGTAATCGGACAGGTCTTCTACATGGATGTGGAAATCCCCAATGAAGATGAGCAGTGAGGGTGAGGAGAGGCCACGGATAAAAGTGAGATCAGTCAATTTAGCCACGAGAGATAGGCTGTGCCCTGCAAAATAAGTTAAGATTAATAGGGGGAGCTAATAGGAGGGGTGGAGGGTGTTAAAATAAATAATGTTTGTGAAATGAAATAATTAGCATGAGCAAGGAAAAGACAAAACACACAAGACGGTTTGATTCGATTTCATTCTGTATTGGTTGACAACGCAATTAAAGATGCTCGCATGATGGGCTGCCTTGCCAATGTTTCGTCATTCGAATGTGCTCCGAGGTGTCCTTTGCGGTGACGTCAAGGAGTGACATCTTGGTGCATTTGTCCCGCAGAAGAAATAGGTCACCCTAGATTGGTGAAGCCTGTGATGATTAATGAACAGGACTGACATGCTCCGCAAAACAATCCATTTTTTCTATTTCGTAACAAAGTGCGCACTGGATGTCACTTGTGAGCGAGAGCGTGGTTGACGTTTTATCTTTGGTAACACAAGCGCCATATTTTTCCCCCACTCGTTTGAATGTAGTGGTGCAGCCTTCGCCACGGGCCCGATGCTACTGTTGATATTCATGAAGATCGACTCTGATTAATCATTCTTGTTTACTACTTACGCCGATGGAACGAACACAAAATGGGTGAAAAGCAATGCACACTTATGACGTTCCTCCCTGCGGGGCACAGTCACTCTGCTGCAAACTTTAAAAATCCAGTGCTCCCAGTGTTATTAACCCTTTCCCATTTCCTCATCAGTTTTTATTCCGATTCCATTCTGACTCCATACGTTTATGTCATCGGAACAGAATCCAATCGACTCCGAATGAAATCGGAAGTTAAAGGCCATGTGGGAGGGCGTGTGGCACAGTTTAGCACCAGCTATCGTAGAGTGCGGTTGTGTCACTGCAGTTCTCTGCGGTGAGTACAATGTCTTTAAAAACAATGACGCTACGCCTCTAAAGAAAATGAACGTTAAACCACTTGTGCGTTCCAAGGTTCAGCGGTGAAGAGGACCCCACCCTGCAACTTGCAGACGTCTTGGAACGGGAAAGGGTTAACGGTGTCCACGAAACTCATTGTGCACTGTTGTGGGAGAATGTGGGTACGAAATCGGTTAATATATAAATACACCTTTAAGAGTCTTTACACATTTTTTTAAATTGGGAATAACATTTTTGTTCATAATAGAGGTTTTATGGGTTAGATCATGTATAAATATATAAATGTTTCGTTAAACCCGTCACCACCCGACACAGCCAACAAGAAAGGATTGTCACATAACATACCAATTCGTCACGAGTACAGCTCGCCGGTGCGTTGGAGAGCCTAACCACAACATTTACAATCTGAATACGACATTTCGCCAGTAATTACAACTAGCTTCATCAGGCGACAGCCAGATTTGTGGAGAAATCCACCTGTTTCGTTCCTTATATAGAGGCGTAGATGTGATGACCACATTTCTGCACTCTTGAGTCAACGTACTGGTTTTAATTTTTTAGTCAGTACTCATGAGCATTTAGTGAAATATTATTTGACCATACAGGCGAGCCTCGCTTAATGAGTGTGACAATTTGCTATAACAAGCAATTTTTATTCAGACCCATTTGTTCGCAAAACGAGCAAAATGTTCGCTGAGCGAGCTCTGACGGATCGATCAATATGCGTCCCGTGGCGGCAGGGGGCGCACACCGGCCAGGAGCTGTTTGTTTACCAGCTGCGCTGTGTTCCTGCGTGTATTGTTGTGTGGGGGACGGGGCTTCGTGGTGGCGAGTGGGTTGGGGGAGGGGTAGGGTGCGTGGCGGTGCTAATTAATTAATTGCAGACGCTGGGGACAGGAAGTCGCGCTCCATCTCGCATCCCCGCATCGTGGGTATGAACCCAGAAACCCTGGTTCGAGTCTAAGCCACAGCGAACATTAGCCGCGAGTGATATTTGAACCGGTGGTCCTGCATGGCCCCTGCTGCTCCTTTCCCACTTTTATCATTTACCCTTTAAACAACATAAATGCCAGGCACCTGCAAGCACTGGTTCTCCACGTGTGGTAAGTGTTGATATTCCTGCTTTATTGATTTATTTAAAATATATATCATTAATATTTCTCACATTTCAAAAGTTTTTCCAGAGTGGAACTTTTTGGTGCTTAAATGTAGCTCAGCTTTTAACATGAGAGGGAGTCAGTGGGAAAACAATGATTGTTTAACGAGTTTTTGCTTACCGAGAACATTTTTTGCAGAACTTATCTGGCCCTTTAAACGAGACGACACGCTCGTACTTCGTAACTCCGTTCATGTGCAAAGTTTATGAAGGTGGGGGAACATAGATGCAGGAGCATAGAATTACATTATGACAATAGCTCTTTGCTGCACTGCCCTCTCCTGCACGTAATGTAGGATTGCAACCT